ACCAGGGTCTCTTTTAAGTTCTTAAAGGCCTGTTCATGGTCCTCAGTCCACTCCAACGGGGTGCTGCCCCTGGCAGTAGTGGAGTACAAGGGTTGGCAATTTCAGCAAACCCAGGTATCCAAAGACGGCAATATCCAACAGCTCCCAGACATTCCCTAGCTTGTTTTGCTTTTTGGTGGCTGGAGTTGGGATTTGAATATGGCTGCTGTGTAGCCTGGACAACAGTCTTTTCCCTTCTCTCAACTCATATCCCAAGTAAGCAGCCCAGGGTGAGCAAATCTGTGCCTTCATTTTAGAAACTCCATAGCCTCCTGGGCTAGAGTTTCCACCAGGCCTCTGGTGGCTCTCAAACAGTCCTCCTCCTCTTTAGCAGTCAACTGTTGTGAGAATTCGGTCTGTCAGCCAATTGTACTGGGGCAGCTTGGTGGAATCCGTGTGGCCTTTTCTGGGGATACGTGACCGGGTGAGAATGGAGGGCGGGGTTGAGAATGGAGGGCAGGGGTCGAGCCTGTCGCAGCCTCGTTCTGTATTGTAAGTGGAATTTATATTTTGCACATGCTTAATTGAAAGACCTGAGGTTATCGGGCTTCAGGCTGAATACCCCAGTGACGTCCTGAGCTCAATAACCAGACAGTTGGATGCAAACCGCGAGAGGTTTATTGTTCACACAGGCGTCTGCGGGCAATTCAGCAGCTCTGCTAACTGAACCCGATGGGTTTTAGGACAGTTTTCTTTTTATATACATACTTTAGGCAAGCAAAGTAATAGGGGTATTATAAGGAGTGGAGCTACTGCAGGTGCAGATCTGGGCAAGCAATAGGGGTATTGTTAGAACGCGGGCATAACTCATCCTCCCTGGAGAAACCACAAGGTCAGAATTACCCTTATCTCTACAGCCTGCCGGTGTCCTGCATCAACACTCTGGACCAGATGTTCTTTTTAATTTGACCTTGTTCCCTGTCTGGGGGAAGGGACCTTGGGGAATTTTCCACTGAGGCGACCTTTTGAGTCTCAAAAAGGGGGAGGGGGTGTATTGAGATTTTTCAAATAAACCTGACTTAAACCAGGCAGTGGTGGCGCACGCCTTTAATCCCAGCACTCCGGAGGCAGAGGCAGGCGGATCTCTGGGAGTTCGAGACCAGCCTGGTCTACAAAAGCTAGTTCCAGGACAGCCTCCAAAGCCACAGAGAAACCCTGCCTCGAAAAACCTAAATAAATAAATAAATAAACAAACCTGACTTAATCACAGAGACCCATCCCTCATTAGCCAATAATAAATCATGTACATATTGAAGCAAGGTTACCTCAGGACGCTTACTGCGGAAGAGGCTCACCTTCTGGTCGAGTGCTTTATGGAAGATGGTAGGAGTTTTTGACCCTTGAAGCAGTCTGGTCCAGGTTAGTTGTCTTCATACCGCCAGCTCAGGGTCAGCCCATTCAAATATGAAGATGGGCCGATTTAATATCGACAGGGGGGTAGAGAAGAATGCATCTTTTTGTTTTTGTTTTCGTTTTTGTTTTTCGAGATAGGGTTTCTCTCCGTTCTGGAACTCGTTCTGTAAACCAGGCTGGCCTTGAACTCACAGAGATTGGAGATTTGCCTGCCTCTGCCTCCCGAGTGCTGGGATTAAAGGCCTGAGCCACCAACACCCAGCTCTTTTTTTTTTTTTTTTTTTTTTTTTGGTTTTTTTCGAGACAGGGTTTCTCTGTATTGTCTTGGAGGCTGTCCTGGAACTCGCTCTGTAGACCAGGCTGACCTCGAACTCACAGAGATCCACCTGCCTCTGCCTCCCGAGTGCTGGGATTAAAGGCCTGTGCCACCAACGCCCGGCTGCTCTTTTTTTTTTTTAATACTTACTTATTATGTGTATATAGTGTTCTGCCTGCATGTATGCCTGCAGGCCAGAAAAGGGCACCAGATCTCATTACAGATGGTTGTGAGCCATCATATGGTTGCTGAGAATTGAACTCAGGACCTCTGGAAGAGCAGCCAGTGCTCTTAACCTCTGAGCTACCTCACCAGCCCCAAGAATGCATCTTTTTAAGTCCAATGCAGTGTAAAGTCTATGCTCTGGTGATCACAAACTGAGAAAACTATAGGGATTTGGAAGACCTGGGTAAACGGATTCCACCCTCTTGTTCACTTCCCTCAAGTCTTGTGCTGGTCTGTAGTCTCGAGCTCCAGGCTTCTGGGCAGACAGCAAGGGGTGTTCCAGGCTGACTGATAAGGAATCAGAACACCTGCTTCATGGAGGCATCTGACGTGAATCTTAATCCACTTCCCTGGCCTCTGAACTCGAATGGGCACTGCTGCTGATGTCATTGCACCATGGAGGTGACTCGTGTCTCACCAAGCCAGGAGCTTGTCCTCTGTCCTGGGTCAGCAACTTTTTCCGTTTCCTTTCCAGGGAATGGGCTGGATTTTGGAGGAGCAGGTATTCCTCACTTACTGGACAGGTTATAGTTAAAGCCTTAGCAGGGCCTCCCAATGCATCCTAGGAGATTCCCTGAGAATGATACTGTTGCCCGGGGCTTGCTCAGGAGGTCCCGGCCCAGTAAAGGGCAGGGACAATCGAGAATAACAACAGAAGGAGTCACTGCTCCTGGTCCTAGGTTAACAGTCCGGGCAGGGGTCCGTTTGTACTCTTTGACATCCTCTGTTGTCCCCTGTACTGCCGTTGTTTGGATGGTAAGGGGCCCCAGGGGCTCCTGTAATACTGAATGAGAAGTCCCTGTGTCCACCAGAAATTTTACAGGTTGGCCGCCTCTGGCAAAGGTTACCATAGGCTCCTGGGGGGCTAGTTCAATGGAGGCTTGGCCTCACTAATCTTCCATAGCTAGGAAGGGGGTCCTACCTGTTTCCGGTGTGAATATTCATTTTTCCAATGAGCCATTTCTTTTCAGATGGTGCATTGGGCCATTTCTAAGACAGGGTTTCTCCGTGTAACAGCTCTGTAGACCAGGCTGGCCTCAAACTCACAGAGATCCCCCTGCCTCTGTCTCCCAGGTGCTGGGATTAAAGGCGTGCGCCATCATTGCCCTGCAAAGGTCTCTTTCTAGCATGGTGTGCTTGGGCAGAGGTGAGGGTGGCTGGGGCCTTTGGTGCCGCCACAGTGGCGTGCCCATCTTACCAGAAGATCCTCGTGGTCTCTACTGCCAAACACTTTCTGGGTATCTCTAATAGCTCTGACCTGCTCTTTCTTGCAAACCCACCCATCTTTTTTTGTATCTTTCTAACTATGTCAGTGAGGGCCAACAAAGGCCAGGTTAATCACCTTGCGATTTGCCAGGTCCTCTGTGTCTGTAGGAGTGTGTAAGTGACAGGCGTCCAGGAGGTGTCCAGGAAAGTTGGAGGCCATCCATCTGGGCCCTGTTCACATCTGCTACCTTAGATCGGTCAGTGGGCTTCCCGGACGCCCGCTCCATCCCTTCCAACAGAACTTGGTGGTATTCACAGAGTGACCTCCTACCTCTCTGTGTGCTGCAGTCCCCTTGGGGTCTCCTTCTTGGCAGAGTAAGGTCAATCGCATCTGCCCTCTATCATCAGCACTGAAGCTATTTCAGGGAGTGAGTGTTTCAGCTGCTTTCATGAGAATCCATTTCCTTTCTTTGGTCGTAAAGAGGGTAGGGAGACACTGCTGACAGTCGTCCCACATGGGGAGATGATCGAAAGGGACGGGGTCAGTGCCGAAAGGGTGGTTCTGGCCATTCAGTGTCACAGACCGGTCACGGGCGACACTTGGTGGTAAGATAATCGTAACCCTCCTTAACTTTAGGGCGTAAGGTCATCAAAATTCTTCAGAACACAGGTTAGCGGGCTGTCAGTCTTCTAGTCTTATTACCCATACTGTCCATCAGTTCAGTCACCCAAGTCCAAACTAAACCAATTAACACAGAAAGTACGGGTAGTGATAGTCAGGGAACAACCGTAGGGGAGCAAGGGCCCGAAGCCAGGAGGGCCTTATGGGACACCCTGGGGGGTGTATGTGGGAGGAAGTCAGGTCGTGGGTTAGAGCTGGGGTGGGGGGAGATAGGTGGAGGTAGGAAAACTGGATGGTGGGGTGGGGTAGGTGCAGATGTGGGGGCAGAGTGACAGGAGAAGAGGGGGACGGTTATATAAGGGAGAAGGCATTGATCCTCCTGTGAGTCCTGCAGAACCAGCTTCAGAGAGAGCTTGCTGGTCTCTGCTACAGACCTTCAGAAGGTTCTCCTGCTCACAACCAGGACTTGGCCACCTTGCCCATTGCAGACAATACAGACCTTCTTCCTGAGGGGCTGGCTGGAAGTTGCTTCAGCCCAGAGCAAGATGTGTCCTATCTGATCTCAGTGGCCCGGCTTACCGACGGTGGCATTAACCATTGCCCAGGCTATCTGAGAATTAAAAGTACCCCGGGAGGACCACGAATGTAGACCATTCACTTTCACAGAACCTTCGGAGGCGACACTTGGTAATAAGATAATCGTAACCCTCCTTAACTTTAGGGGGTAAAGTTGAATCAAAATTCTTCAGAACATGGATTAGAGTCTAGTTTTATTACTCATACTGTCCATCAGTTCAGTCACCCAAGTCCAAACTAAACCAATTAACACAGACATAAAAGACAGCAAGAGGACAGTAAAAATGAAGCCAAAGCCAAGACATGACCAACAGGACATAAAATCAGACCGAGAACCTCGGGTGGGCAGTGTGATGTCTTGCTTTTTGCTTGGATGGGAGAACCCCGCATGTCCCGGATAGAGATCCCACAAAACAGAACCAGACTATGACTCACCAGGACTCCTTAGATGCTTGCTGTGTTCGCCACCATGAGCGATCACCCCATAGTCCTTGAACTGAAAAACATCTCAAGGCACACACTCCTGCTGAGGCAGCCCCCCAGTCCCTGCAGTTCCCACGTGAAGGTCCAGGTTTAGAATTTCAGTGGAAGGTCTGAATTTCACTGGGGCCTCCAGAAAGCAAATGCTAATCCCAAACGGCAAGAATAAGACTATTACCACAATTTGAGCCAAATTTGAAACAAGCTTTTTTATTGGGGTGCACCCAAGAGCTGGCCATGACTGCCTGCTAAATCAGGTTAAAGAGAGCAGCCTCTTGGGCCCCTTTTAAGGAGTAAAATCACAAGTAGTTTTACAGAAGGGAGACAATGGGGCAATAAGGAAATTTTAAAAAACTTAAAAAAATTATGTGGCCACTCACCATGTGATTAGGGAGGGGTCAAGGAGGGTCAAGGTATTCTCATAAACAAATCAAGGTTATGGAGTTGGAGAAACTCAGGTTCAGGAAACAGAGAGCAACTCAACTCTCAAAGTAAATAGAAACTTATTTTTAAAAATACTTCGTAATGGTTCCTGTCTTCAAAATGGAGTCAGGCAGATTCCTCAAGACCTGTGAATCTAAGGCCCCGAGCACAATGTCACAACCTCAGAGAGAAAGAAGCTATTTATTGACTAGTAGTTCAAAGTTTTAATCCAAGTTTGGACAGTGTTGGGATAATCGGTCTTTGACCACAGTAAGCCCAGCCCTCCCAGAACACATGAGGGAACAAACTTCTCCCCGTAGTCCTGAATGACCTCACCCTGCAAGACTGTGCTTCCAGCCTGAGCCACGCAGGAATGGAAAGGGGCAAGTCAAAAGCTGGACTGCAGCAGAGTGACCCTCAGGGGCCACGCCCCCTCATCCTGCAGTGGAGTGGGAGGGGTGTTCCTGGGGTTCCAGCTGGGCTCCCACCGCGCCGAGTCTCGCCCACTCCCCGGGCATGAGACCCCTGTGGCAGCAGAGTTATCCTTGCGAGAAGCCGGGGACAAGGCGACCTGGGGCAGGGCTTCACTGGGAGGCTGTGAGCCCGGCGGGAGACAGCCTCCCCTGGAGTCTGGGTTTCCCCGTGGAGAGCCTAAATGGGGAATGACAATTGTCTACATGAACAACTGAACTCCATTATTTCCAGGCCTCCTCCCTCAGACCCAGGGGTCCAGACCCTGGGCGCCTCACCTGTCATCAGCCTGTGCCACTGGGAAGCCTCTGTAGCTAGAGCCTGGGAGAGACTGAGGACCCGCTCCCGGTGACCTCCGGACGTTGGCATGTAGGTTGTGGAGTGTCTGGGACTACAGAAAATGAGGCACGGTGTCAAACAGGCCACCAAGGCCTGCTGGGAGCTGTGCTTCTCCGCTAAAGGGCTTTAAACCCAGGTCCTGGGCAGCGCGGGTAGACCAGCAAGCAGGAAGGTCGCCATCACTGGGTGAACCGGACCTCTGCCGTCCTTGACTGGGTGTGAGGGGCTCCCTGGCTTTTCTGGAGGTGCCACAGGAACTCAAGGGCACAGGAGACCATGATAATGCCACGGCTACCTGTCTGCATCCGCAACCCCCCAACTCCACTCGCGACGCTAAATCCATACCTACTCCAGGACCCAGAACTTCTGAGCCATTTCGCAGCTCCTACAACAGGCTGGAAGGAATTAAGTGGTTAGAATGCTTGCCTCGGAGAATGGTCACAAGTTCAAGGCCAGTCTGGTCTGAGTACACGACAAGCTTATGTCCAAATGGAAATAGGGGAGGAAACTGTGGTGGGGAAGGGGGCAGGGGAGAAGGAGGAGGGAGAGAAAAGGGAAGGGGGAGGCAGGAAAGGCAGGGAACTAGAAGGGAATTCTTGCCAGGGAAGCCCCTGCCTCCTCTACCTCCTTCTCCAGCCTCTCCCTCCCCTCCTCCTCTCTTCTCCTCATCCCCCTCCCCTCATGCAGATCCTTAGGAATGTCAGGGGACAACCTGAGGTGTCTCCCTCTGATCCTTCACTTTTGGTTTGAGACAAGCCTTCTCATTGGCCTGAAACCTCAGCAAGTTGGCCAGACCGACTTGTGGAATAATCCTTTTGTACGCTGTGAATATATGTACACTGAATATGTGTACACTGCGAATATGTGTCACCCAGCTAGGCAGGATTTTCAGGGCAGAAAGGACACCAGGAAGAAGGGAGTCATCAGCAGGAAGCAGAGGAAGCAAGACATGCAGGACCAGAGGTAAAAGCCATGAGCACGACACAGATGAATAGAAATGGGTCAATTTAAGAAGTAAGAACTGGGGCTGGCCGGGCGGTGGTGGCGCACGCCTTTGATCCCAGCATTCGTGAGGAAGAGGCAGGCAGATCTCTATGAGTTCGAGGCCAGCCTGGTCTACAGAGTGAGTTCCAGCACAGCCTTCAAAACAATACAGAGAAACCCTGTCTCAAAAAACAAAAACAAAACAAAAAAAAAACAAAAAACAAAACTGGGGCTGGAGAGGTTAAGAGCACTGGCTGATCTTCCTGAGGTCCTGAGTTCAATTCCCAGCAACCACATGGTGGCTCACAACCATCTGTAATGAGATCTGGTGCCCTCTTCTGGCCTGCATACAGACAGAACACTGTATACATAATAAATAAACAAATCTTTTAAAAAAAGGAAAGCCTAAGTTGTCAGGTGAGTTCCATAACTAATAATAAGTCTCCTGTCATTATTGTGAGCTGGTGGCCCAAGGAAAAGCCTGACTTACAAATGACACCAATGTCTGGACGCATGGTTCCACCTAAGACCTGAGAAAAAAGGTTCCAAACATACAAAATCAGAGCCGAGTACTGCTTCCTAGTCCCACAGTCTCATTCAGGCTGAGCTGCAGAGACGCGTCTTCCCCGTGGGCTTGAGCAGCCAGATCGCCAAGAGCTGAGCTGCCGGGCAGTTTAAGGTTTTGGTCATGCAGACAGAAAAGGTTACAAATACACAGTACAGCAGTTTCTGATGGGGGGAAAAACATCTAGACAGGTTACAGTGTGTTTAAGAATGTGTGTAGGCTTAAGAAAAAGAATATAGAGCCGGGCGGTAGTGGCGCACGCCTTTAATCCCAGCACTCGGGTGGCAGAGGCAGGCAGATCTCTGTGAGTTCCAGACCAGCCTGGACTACCAAGCGAGTTCCAGGACAGCCTCCAAAGCCACAGAGAAACCCTGTCTCGAAAAACCAAAAAAAAAAAAAAAAAAAAAAAAAAAAAAAAAAAAAGAAAGAAAGAAAGAAAAAGAATATAGACAGTCATAAGAAATAGTTTAAGGCCGGGCCTTGGTGGCGCACACCTTTAGTCCCAGCACTTGGGAGGCAGAGGCAGGAGGATCTCATGAAAAACTACAAGAGAGGTGACATATTTTACCTGCTCAAACATAAAACAACAATAAAAAAATCACCTTTGGCTAGCTTGAGGTATGTTACCTTTGAAATATTAGGTTTTCAGAGCAAGGGGCCCAGACACCAATGAAAACAGGTGGCCTGGGTGACCCAGCCTCTCAGAGTGCCTCTGTTGCTGTTTCCTCAGAGCTCTGCATCCAGAACAGCTTCAAGGCTGCCGACACGGTCCAGCCCCACAGACTATTCTAGCCAGGACTTGACCATTATCCTGACTTTCTCAGGGTCCCCCAAAGATGCCAATGCCCCTAGACATCCAGAAGCAGTCTAGAGAACACAATCCCCCACATTCCCAAGAGGTAGGGTGGGTGGTTTTTGGTCATTCAGTGGATTATGAATGTTTATCATTATTTAAAGAGGTTGGTTACAAATTGCTATTGATCATGGTAAAACAAAACAAAACAAAAACTGAACAAAGGAGATTAGATTCAGGGATTATTTTTTGAAGGGGAAAAAGGGAGGATACAGCATAAAAATGATGAGATTAAAGGGAAGATTGTTAGCCAGGCCGTGGTGGTGCACGCCTTTGATCCCAGCACTTGAGAGGCAGAGGCAGGCGGATCTCTGTGAGTTCCAGGCCAGCCTGGTCTACAAATATACACAGACAAACCCTGTCTGGAACCCCAACCCCGCAATAAAAGGTGGATTGTTGAATCTATTTTTGAACAACCACTAGTCTCAAATATTTTACAATGGTATGGGTTTTTGTATATTGATACAAGTTTAAGGTTTTTTTGTTAGAGCATATTGTACATACATTTCTGCTATTGTTTAAGGTATTGTATCTATACAGCTCAGCTAACAATGTAATGTATATTTCTAGTCCTTGAAAGTCATTACTATAAACTACTTAGGATAATAAAAAATGCAGGTTAATAATTAATTACCTATAACAGTAAAACTTGTCATGTTAGGTATGTTTTTAAGGTCAAACAGAGATATATTTTAGGTAGTCTTCAAACACGCCCAAGACCTACAGAATATGGCATTTAAAATGTTTTGTTAATGTGAGTCTTTTTATGTTAATGAGATACACATGCACCTGGTAGCACCAATTTACTTCAGAGAAGTTGATGGGTAGCAAAGAAACGCAAAGGAGTTTGTTTAGAATGCAGCAAAACTAGCCATTTGGGCAAGAAACCGCTCTTGTCTTGAGTGCCGGCAGCGTGCTGTGCAAACTGGACCAGCAGGACACAAAGAAAAAAGACTGCTGAACTCCACCAAAATAAAGTGGAACAGTCCCTCAGAGTTCCTGCCTCACAGAAGAGCCTTTCAGATAGTCTGGGCCTATACGCTGAAGACTGGACACCCCAAAGTTGCAAAGGAACCCTGGGCTGTCCAGGCAGCCAGATGTCTCCGTCATTTCCACAGGTTTGGAAGTGGCTTGCTCTGAACTTCCCATTCACTCAGGTAATATGATGCCCTTCTGGGGTCTTTGATGGAGTTGAAGACTAGGTAATTACAGTCACAGTTTTCCTTAGTTATGGTAGAAAGTAAATTAGGCACAGAGCTTTGGGCTCATCAAGACAGAATAAATAATGGAATATTTTCTCTATATATGACAAGTACAAATGAACTGGACATTGTGAATGATAATTGCTCTCATTGTATATAGTTTTACTGTGCTAGAGTTAAAACCTTTCCTTTTTTATTTAGACAAAAAAGGGAAAATGAGGAATAATATTTTTGTACGTGTGAATGTGTGTCACTTTTACTGGCTTAGTAAAAAGCTGAATGGCTAGTAGCCAGGCAGGATTTGGGGGGCAGAGAGGACACTGGGAAGAAGAAGGGAGTCACCAGCAGGACAAAGAGGAAGACAGACATGCAGGACATGAATTAAAGCCACGAGTCACATGGCACCACACAGGTGAACAGTAATGGGTTAATCTAAGCTATAAGACCTAGTTAGAAACAAGCCTAAGATATCGGCCAAGCTTTCATAATTAATAGCGAGTCTCCAGGTCGTGATTTGGGAGCTGATCCTTGAGCTTCCGGGGACCCATATGTCTCCACCCCCCATCTCCATGCCATGGGGATTACAGGCGTTCACTGTTGGCCCAGGGATGCCTGGCTTCTGAAGCTCCAGAGTCAATCACTGAGCTCCTCCCAGGGCCCCTTACTTCCCAGCCAGACTCCTACGGAGCTCATTACATAGCTGAGGGTGGCCTTGAGCTCCTCCATCTCAGAGTGGGAGCAGGAGCTGTGCATCAGCGGCACCGGGGTCCCACTTATTTTTACGGTGACATTAGCTGGAGTGCTTAGAGTGAAATGGCCAGAAGACACCACGTTTGAGTGCACCTGTCCCCTTGGTCAACATCAGGGTTACAAAGTCACGCCCACACCTAGAGGGCCTAATCCTTCCCTACAATCCCCAGAGGTCTATGTGTCACACAGAGGCTTGGTCCCCAGCCTGTGGTACGGCTGAGATGTGACTGGGCGGTGAGAATGTTCATCTGACCCACGAACTAATCCACAGGTGAGTGACAGAACACAGGCCTGTACTTTCAGTCCTGACTCCACAGCCTGAATCAGGCCATGCCTCCCTGGCGTTCACAATTAAGGGTCACTGCTGTGACCTGGCAGCTTACAATCTGTGGCACCTGGCTCCCCCATGCTCCCTGTCACACGTTACACAGAACCAAACCACAGGGCCTGGAAGTCAGAGTGTGGAATCCCTCAGGGACCTGCTCAGGAGGTACACGGAAGGCTGCTCTCTGAGAGGCTGCTCTGGCTTCCCGTCTTCCCAGCATTCCTCTCGGTGATTCCCTCTTTCTCACTCTGTTTTGTTCTTCGAGACAGGGCTTCTCTGTATTTTTTTGGAGGCTGTCCTGGAACTCGCTCTGTAGACCAGGCTGGCCTCGAACTCACAGAGATCCGCCTGCCTCTGCCTCCTGAGCGCCGGGATTAAAGGTGTGCGCCACCGACGCCGGCTCTCACTTTATTTTTTTATGTGCACTGGTGTTTTGCCTGCGTTTATGTCTGTATGAGAGTGCCAAATCACTTTGAGCTGGATTGCGGACAGTTGCGAGCTGCCATGTGGGTCCTCCGGAAGAGCAGCCAGTGCTCCTAACCACTGAGCCATCTCTCCAGCCCCTCCTCCACCTGAGGCCTCCACTGTTTCCCAGCTCACAGCCAACCACGGCCTTGAGGCTCTCTCACTGTAACCTTCATTGCCAGGATAATATGTGAGCTTTCTTCAGGACCAGACAGTCCTCTCCTATCGTTAAGACATGGATTTATAGTCAATCGTGCTATTAGGAAGCAGGGCCTACCTGGAGAAGAGGGTGTGGTTAGGAAACAAATATATATCCAGTCTCTCCCTCTCTCCCTCTGTCTCCCTCTCTCTCCCTCCCTCTCTCCCTCTCTCTCCCTCTCTCTCTCTCTCTCTCTCTCTCTCTCCCCCCCTCCCCTCTCCCTAGATCGTGTGATTTATTTGGCATGGCATGTACAATAGGGAGCATGGAAGAGAGATCTACAGGGAGGCGTGGCCTTTTTCATGCCCTATAGAACTGAGAGAGTCCTAGTTCTGACACAGGAACTGGAGAAACTGTTCCCTCCTGCTTCAAGGCAGTGTCCTCTGAACTGAAACACTCCCCACAGGGGAGGGGGAAATCCTGAGACTGAGGAGATGAGCAGACTTCACATGTCTGGGAAAGCTAAAACTTGCTGAGTTGTGGAAACTTCCATGACTGAACCGTGGACACAGCAAATGCACCCGGAGAGGAGTCTCTGGCCAGCCAAGATACAGAGAGGGACCTCTCAGAACTGCTGAGCTGCCTGCGCTCTGCAAACAGCATAACACGCAGCTTTCATGAGCTGTCACGCATCCGGAGGAGGGTTGTTTGGCGATGCGGTCGTTTTTAGGTCATCCCTGCCACTATAGGTAGCTGGTCACACACACTCCTGTTAGTAACCCCATAACACCTCATCAGTCTGCCAAGCTGGACCTTGGCGCAGTCATTTCTGTAGTCGGTAACGAGTTCCCTTTCTGGGTTACGTGAACCTGTACACGAGCTGTATGTCCAGGAAGAGCCTCCTTGCCTAATTCTGTCCCCCACTGCAGGGAGCACAGGTACAGGGCGGGATGACTTAGTCTGCGACAAGGAAGTGGGAAGTATTCCCATCTTACAAAGGCAGCAGAGGATGGGGTGCGGCTCATCAACAGGATGGTTGCCTACCAGGCTCTACCCCCAGCCCTGTATAAAACCAGCATGACGACGCATGCCTGTAATCACGGCTCAGGAAGGTACAGGCAGGATGCCGGAGTTCAAAGACAACCTTAGCTATGTAACAAGCTCAAAGCTAGGGGACACACGAGACCCTGTCCCCCGTACCCCCCCAAAAAAAGAACTAGGAGCAGAGGCTCCTCTCCCACAGTGCTCCCAATACAAGACCCTACTCTCCTCACCCTCTGCTCCAAGTCAGGCTGGCGTCCAGCTGGGGACAGCGCCCTCCCCAGAGTCAGGAGCCTCGGGGAGGCAGGGCGAGGAAGAGGAAGCCCGCAGGCCTGGTTTCTGCGCATGCGCTCCAGCTGCTCCTGCGCACTCATGCGAGGCCTCCCCGGCGGAGCCTGGGGAGAGACAGAGCCAGACTCTAACCCTCGGTTTCCTCGTTCTCTCTGTTCCAGGAACTTCACAGAGCATTCGTTACAGAACCCAAAGGATACCTCCAACAGAGGCTGCTCTGCCCCCTCCCTGACCCTGGGACCCAGCAGCTGGGGACAAAGGCTTCCCAAGCCCTGTGTGGCCTGATTGCTGCCCACGTCGTGGTCTCCTTCCATCACCTGCCCTACCTTCTGGAGAAGGAGGCATCATGCCTCCTGGGCATGTCAGCTTCTCCCAATAAGTTGACACTGAGTAGGGAAAACCACGAGCTATTTCCCTGGAGAAGTGCTGCAGAATGAACCCAGCGATAGACAACCTTCATGGCTTCACTGCTGAGCCACGCCCCCAGCCCCTCACTGGGGAATTCTAGGCAGTGCGCTACCACTAAGCCATGCTCCTCAGAGGGGCTTAGGAACTACCCCAAATCACACAGCTTTTCACACAACGGCTTCTAGTACTCGAGGTAAAAATCCTGTCTGGTCTGGTTGTGGGCTTCGAACTGACCTCTCCTACTGCTGGGTCAGAGGTGACCAAACACAGTCATAAGGCGAATTTAACTTGTCTGGAGATAGCCTACCTTAGTTCTCAGCGGTGGGGATGGGGGTTGGCGACCTTCAGGGCTGGATGCCCGGGAGACCCTTGGAGACCCGACACCTTGAAGAACAGAGGGGGACTTAGTCAGAACAAGACCACAGAGAGGGTCCCACCCTACCAGGGTGCTCACCTGAGGGAGGGCTTAGGATGGCTCTGTCACCTCCTGGAGGCCGACCCCAGTCCACCTCAGGGGGCTGTGGGGAGCTAAGCTCCAGCGACTCCGGAAGGCTCTGAAAGGAAAAAATGGGGATCAAATACTGGCGTTCTTATCATTACTATACCACCATTTTTCAAAAAGATTAAAATTACAAGCCCAGAGCCAGACATGTTGGCTTCAAATCACGTCTCTGCCACTTATTGGCTTGTGTAACTTTGGACGAGTTGCTTAACTTCTCTTACCCTCTCAACTTAAGTTGCTCAACGTCAAAAGCATCCCACCCTTTGGCATCCGAGGCAGTCAGAGCAGCGTGTGAAGTTTCCCACGCTACGGTTGATGCGGTGGTGTTTGGGGGGCTTCCCAGGGAAGCAGCTGCCTTTGAGCTGCACATGCATCTCCTGTAACTAACTCCTAAAAACTCAGTGGTTCTCCAGAGCACACTTGGTGTTTTCTTTGGTGTCGTTGCCTTTCTGGCTGGGGTGGACAGAAAAGTCAGGAGGCAGATGGAATAATGTTGTGGGACTCTAGTCTCACTGTATCCAGGGTGAAACATTGGCGTGAACAGTTGTTTTCTAGAAGTACTTTGATCTTTGTGGGAAATGGTGACTGTTTCCATGACTTGCAGGATTGTTTTTCTGAAGAGACGTTTGTTGCAGTCTTTGCATGACTCTGGCTAGAAGATGCCTCTGGGACACCTGAGGCCCTCAGATTGTTGTGGTTCTCGGTAAAGGGCTAAAGTCATGAGGGCAGGTGATGGACAAATTAGACTAGCGGCATTTGTTTGTTTAACCGAAAAACAGCTTTGTGTAACAATCAGTAAATGTGCCTTTCTATGGAGGTTAGACAACTTTGTGTAGCAATCAATACATAAGCCTCTGTGTGGTAGAGGTTCAGCTCAGTCCATCAGGGGCTGAACCTTCCTGCTGCCACACAGGCCTTAAAGAATCCATCCTGGAGCTGGGCAGTGGTGGTGCACGCCTTTAATCCCAGCACTTGAGAGGCAGAGGCAGGAGGATCTCTGTGAGTTCGAGGTCAGCCTGGTCTACAGAGCGAGTTCCAGGGCAGGCTCCAAAGCTACAGAGAAAGTATATTTTGAAAAACCAGAAAAAAAATTCATATTGGAGTGACCTCTTTCTTCAGGCAACACAGAACACTCTGACAGAATAATAAATAACAACATATAGTTGGGCAATGGTCATGCACACCTTTATTTCCTGCACTTGGGAGGCAGAGACAGGTGGATCTCTGTGAGTTTGAGGCCAACTGGGTCTACAGAGTGAGTTCCAGGACAGACAGACAGACAGACAGACAGACAGACAGACAGACAGAGAAACCCCATCTCAAACAAACAAACAACTCCTCCAAAAATAATATATATATATACTATATATATATATTATATATATATATATATAGCAATATATATACTAAATAAGGGGCTGGTGAGATCTCTGAGCAGATAAGAGTACTTGCCACCACATCTGAGGATTTAAGTGCCATCCTCAGGGTCTTCAATAGTAGAAGGAGACAACTGATTACCACACACTATCCCTGACCTCCACGTACACTTTGTGACATGAGTACGTAACATGCGCACACTGTGACTGCGAGGGGAAGTCTAGATCAGCTTGGGCTGTGTGCACATCTGTAGGACTGTCCTGATTACACTCACTGACGTGGGAAGACCCAGCCTGACAGGGGTGGTCCCGTTGCCTGGGGCTGGGTCCTGGGGCAAACAGAAGAGGGTGGGATTGAAGAGATGGTCCACTGGTTAGAACACTTGCTCTTGCGCAGGGCCCAGGTTCAGGCCCCAGCATTCACATAATGGCTACAACCATTCTAACCAGTTCCAGGGGATTCAGCCCCCAGTGCCCCCCCCTCGCTCGCCTCCATAGGCTCAAGGGAACAGGAGAGAGGTCGGTGGAGACTCACAGGATCAAGACACCAGCAATGGAAACTGGGCAGGAGCTGGAAATCTCACCTCCCGCTCTGAGGACTCCTCTCCTTGGGGAGCAGGGGATGGAGACTTGAGCTCAGTGTGTGGGGGCTGTTTCTGGGGGCCACCTAGACCTGCCAGCGTGTCCTCCACCATCCATAGCTGCTGCTGAGCTGCTGCTCGGTCCTGGGAGAAAGAAAGGGTTTGTTCAAGAGGAGAAAATACAAGGGTAACGGCAGCAGATGGGCTCTCCCAGAAGATTCTAAAGTTAGTCATGTGGAGGATGTCTAGGCAGATTGTGGCCCTTACAATCTATGGTCTGCGAGTGAGTGTTGGTGAAAAGACTTGTGGGATTGTTCTTCTCCTCCATGATGTGGGTCCCTGGGACTGAACTCAGGCTGTCAGTCTTGGCAGCAAGTACCCTTACATACTGAGCCATCTCAGCAGCCCCAAAGTTGTAAAGTTTTACTTATTTTTATTCATGTGCATGTATGCATGTGTCTCTGTGCATGTGATAATGTATGTGGAGATACCCACAGAGCCAGAAAGGGAACCGAGCTATAGGAGTTTGCGAGCCGGCCCACATGGGTGTTGGAATCTGAGCTGGTCCTCTGATAGATAAAGCAGTAAGTGCTGGTAACCAAAAGCCATGACCCCAGTCCCATGCCCGCCAATGTAGAAAGACCTGCACATTGGCACTGAGGAACCAATCTGGGAAGCCTACATCTCACGCTATCTTACTTTCTGTGAATATGGTACGTCTCTCAGTCTCAGAAAGACTTTTTTTCCTGGTTTTTTTGAGACAGGGTTTCTCTGTATTGTTTTGGAGGCTGTCCTGGAACTCCCTCTGTAGACCAGGCTGGCCTCGAACTCACAGAGATCCGCCTGCCTCTGCCTCCCGAGTGCTGGGATTAAAGGTGTGCGCCACCAACGTTCGAATAAGATTTTTTTTCTTTCAAGATACAAGTGTGTCAAGGTATTTTCCCTGTCTTTTTCCTTCATTGGTGTTTTACCTACATGTATGTCTGTGTGAGGGCATCAGAAGCCGTGGAACTGGAGTTGCAGACAGGTGTGAGCTGCCATGTGGGTGCTGGGAACTGAACCCTTGGTCCTTCCGAAGAGTGGCCGTCTCTCCAGCCTGTCTTATACAGCTTTAATGACAACTAATGATGCTGTGACTCTCCGTGCTGTCTTGCCTACCCTTTCTTCCATAGAGCTAATCTTAGATATTGAGTTCCCCATTTCATTATGAAGACTGTGTTTGTTTTTGGTGGTGGTGGTGGTGGTTGTTTTTGTTTTTTCAAGACAGGGTTTCTCTGTGTTAACAGTCCTGGCTGTCCTGGAACTCTCTTTGTGGACCAGGCTGGCCTCAAACTCACAGAAATCTGCCTGCCTCTACCTCCTGAGTGATGGGATTAAAGGTGAGCCACCTCAACGTGCCATTTGTTTTGTTTTTGAGCCAGTGTCCTGGTTTGGCAGCTCCATCAAACCTTTAATTATTTATTTTTAATGTTGACACATCCTATTCATAATACATTTTTTTTACTTAAAAATAAATTATGGGGGGGGGGGGGGGAGCCGGGCGGTGGTGGCGCACGCCTTTAATCCCAGCACTTGGGAGGCAGAGGCAGGCGGATCTCTGTGAGTCCGAGGCCAGCCTGGTCTACAAAGTGAGTTCCAGGACAGCCTCTAAAGCCACAGAGAAACCCTGTCTCCAAAAAACCTTAATTAATTAATTAATAAAATTAATAATAATTGTGTGTGGACCTGTTTGTATGTTGTGTTCCACATTCTGCGTGCCTGGTTTTCAAGGAGGACAGAAAAGGGTGTCAGATGATAGCCAGGGCTACATGAGAAACCCTGTCTCATACCCCCCAAAAAAACCAAGAACAAACAAAGCAGAGAATGCTAGAGAAACGGCTCTGTCAAAAAAGGGCTGTGCAGAGGCAGGCGGATCTCTGTGAGTTCAAGGCCAGCCTGGTCTACAGAGCGAGTTCCAGGACAGCCTCCAAAACAATACAGAGAAGCCCTGTCTCGAAAAACCAAAAAAAAAAAAAAAAAAAAAAAAAAAGGGCTGTGCAAGCATGAGGACCTGAGTTCAATCCTAAAACTCAGAAAAGCCAGACCTCGAGGCTGAAGCTTGTCATCCCAGGCCTGGGGAGGCGGAGACGGGCAGAGCCCTGGGCTCCCCAGCCTAGCGCACACTGATGAGTGGCAGACCAATAAGAGACTCCATCTGAAACACAGGGGCATGGTGCCTGAGGATGTCCCTGGCTCACACACACACACACACACCTGCACACTTACACACACACCTGCATACTTACACAACCTGCACACTTACACACACCTGCACACTTACACACACACCTGCACACTTACACACACACCTGCACACTTACACACACACCTGCACACTTACACACAAAACAGGAGGGAGAGAGAGACTCGCGGGGTGGAGGGAGACAGGCTTAGCGGTGGTGTTTAACAGTACATGCAGGGCTTCACTGGAGAGGAGACATTTAGAACCAGAGTGGCTTTCTGAAGTTGGGTCTTTAGGACAATAAGGGGCTTAGGAAGGAAGAGGAGCCCGGGACAGATTGCCTGGTGGTTAGCCTAGGTCATTTCCAGAGAGGGTTAGCTGAGGGGACGACCCTGACCTTAAATCACACTGTTTCATGGGCTGGGACCCAGAACGAATAAAAGAGACAAAAGAGAAAGCAAAGGACAGCAGATCTCTATGAGTTCAAGGCCAGCCTGGTCTACACAGCCAGTTCCAGGCCATCCACAGCCACATAACCTCATCTCAACAGCGGGTGGGGGATGGGGGCGAGGCTGGCTAAGTGGTTGAGCGTACTCGCTGCTCTTCCACAGGACTTACGTTTATTTGGTTCCCAGCACACCCATCAGACAACATATAACTGATTGTAACTCCAGTTCCAGGGAATCGAACACCCTCTTCTGACCTCCAAGGGCACGTGGGCACGCGCACACGCGCGCGCGCGCACACACACACACACACACACACACAAGCAAATCTTAAAATGTAGTAAAAGAGGCAAAGCTTTCTAGACTTCGTTAAAGAGTGAGCTAGAGGCATGCCAGCATTTCTCCACTCTGATTTTTTTTTAAATTCCTGTTTTTGTTATTTTAAATATGAGTAGATGTGTGTATCTATATTGTGAATGAGTGCAGGCATACCGGGAGGCCAGATCTGCTGGAGTTGGACTTACAGATGATTGACAGCCACCCTGTGGGTGCTGGGAACTAGACTATGGTCCTCTCTGAGAGCAGCAGGAGCTTTTAACCACTGAGCCATCTCTCCAGCCCTGACTCTCTGCATCTTGATCCACTGAGAGATGAGAAGTTCCAGTCCCTACTCCTGCCATCATGAACTCTGCCTTATCTTCCCCTCAGTGAAGAACCATGTCCTCAACCCATAAGCCAAAAAACAAACTAACATAACATGTTCCCTCGATTGCTTCTTGTCAAGTATTGGGTACATGAAGAAGAAAGTCACTAATCCAGTGGGTGGGACTCCGGCTCCCAGACAGTGCTGGAGTGTCCAGTTTCCAGCGGTTCTGGTGCTGTGGGCAGGGAGGGCACGGTGAGGGTGTACCTGGGGAGACCCGAGGTGCAGGAGGTACTCAAGAGTCTCCCTTAAGGTGCCCAGGTCCTGCTCCAGGCCGCTGTACGTGTCCCAAACATGCTCTCGCTCCTAAAGTCCCAAAAAAGGGGGAAATACAAGATTAGTCCCTCAAAACACCAGATCTTGCCCCAGCTGAGGAAGAGGGAGGTTTCGTCCTGGTTGTCTCATTCCAGATGGACTTCAACTCCCATGATCTTCTTTGCCTGAACGCTGGGAACCCGAGGCCATACACCACATGTGATCCCCGTGGACATGGCCTGACCCTTAAAGCTGTGCAAGCTACAGATAAAATTTAAATATCTGTGTTTTAATATGATCCTCACAAGGGTCACATTCCTTTTCTTTAGATTTATATGTATGAGTATGTGCATGTATTCTGCACATGCCTGGGGTACATGGAGGCCAGAAAAGGGTGTCCGATCCCCTGGAACTGGAGTTATGGATGGCTATGAGCCAACATGTGGGTGCTGAGAATTGAACCCAGGTTCTCTAAAAGAGCAAAAGTGCTCTAAACCATTGAGCAACCTCTCCAATACATTTTGATTTTTTAGACGGTCTCACTATGTAACTCTAGTTGTCCTGGAACTCACAGAAATTCCTGCCTTTGTCTCTTCCAATACTATTTTTCTTATCTAGAGAAATGTCCGGAGTGTTTAAATAACTTTCTTGTTTTGTTTTGTTTTTTGTTTTTCGAGACAGGGTTTCTTTATATTGCTTTGGAGGCTGTCCTGGAGCTCGATCTGGAGACCAGGGTGGCCTTGAATTCACAGAGTTCTGCTTTTTCTGCCTTCCTCCTGCTGGAATTAAAGGTGTGTGCCACGAATGCCTGGCCCACACAATTCATTTTTAAACATGTGTTTTTGTCTGTGCAAATGCACATGCATGTTTGGAAGCATGAGTGGAGAGGACGACTTTGGAAGTTGGTCCTTTCTCAGCCACGTGGGTCCCGAGAATCAGGTCCTGAGGCTTGGGGGCCAGTTCTCTTGCTGAGACATCTCACCAAGTCAGCACACAGAATAAACAACAACAATAATAATAAGCAGCCAGGCGGTGGTGGCACTCATGCCTTTAATCCCAGCACCCGGGAGGCAGAGGCAGGTGGATCTCTGTGAGTTCAAGGCCAGCCTGGCCTACAGAGCGAGTTCCAGGACAGCCTCCAAAACAATACAGAGAAACCCTGTCTCATGTTGCAGGGCATGGTGGCACACGCTTTTAATCCCAGCAGGAAGAAGGCAGAAGAAGCAGAACTCTGTGAGTCCCAGGCCAGCTGGGACTACACAGTGAGACTATTTTAAAAATAGGATAAAATCAAGTCAGAACATCTTATGATTGAGGTCCTGCGTTCACATGTATGTATGCATGTAGAGGGGAAATAAATAGGGTCAAGGGCGAATATCAGAAAGAAATGGTTGTTTGTTTGTTGGAGGTATTTAGACCTTGAAGAAATCACTGTAGAAACAGTGATTGTTTTCTGTTATCCATAGAGCTGTTTTTCTGAAGGAGCGTTTGGGTGTCCCCGGGGCGTCCGGCATCATTGGGTTCTGCAAACAGGGCACAGTGGGGACTAACACTGCAGGGGTGACGTTTCCTTCACAAGACAAGTAGCAGGTTGGTGTGAGGAACTTGTTTTACCTTTTGTGTAACAGTCAATAAATGTACCTTTGTGTGGCTGTTCGAGGTTCAGTTCATAGAAACTGTCCCTTCCTGCTGCCAAAGAGAGCCTACATTACATCCTGGAGTGACCCTCTTTCTTCGACTGACCCACCGAACATCCAACATATGTATTCATATATGTGCACGTATATGTTCATATGCACACACATAGGCATAGTAGAAAATGATAAATACATTGTAAAAATCATCCTTTTGGCCAAGGGTGGTGGTGCACACGTTTAATCCCAACACTCGGGGGGCAGAGATAGATGGATTTCTGAGTTAGCTACACAGAGAAACCCTATCTCAATAAAATAATAATGATCATCACCATCCCCTTAAGTGTCTAAGTTTTGTTATTGCTTGGGGCTTGCCCCTTACCTTCTATGGTGATCAAAAGTATGGGCTTACGGGGCCAGAGGGTCAGGAAAATGGCTCCACTGGTAAAGGCACCTGCCGCCAAGTCTGATGGCCTGAGTCTGGCCCCCAGGACCAGCAGGGTGGAAGAGACTGACTCCTTCAAGATGTCCCCTACCCACTGTGTGTGACACACACACACACACACACACACACACACACACACAGTAAGAACATCTTCCTAAAAATGGTGAGTGGGTCGATGGCCCAAGGACCTGCAAGCTCATATGTCTCCACAGCAGCCTGCACAAGCCTGAGCGCTCACCTGAGTCAGGTGACACAGAGCGGCCCTCACGTTCACCAGCCGGTCCTGCAGTAGGCGTTGGTGACCCCAGGCCTTCCCAGAAGCAGCAGCCTCCCTGGTAGCTTGGCCCAGTTGCTGCCGGGTCAGTTCCAGGGCTGCCTCTAGCTGCTCCTGCAGAGAAGAGAGGTCAGACTTCTGTCGCCACTTCCAACCCAGGAAGGTGAAGGTGGCCGCCAGCCCTCGGGTGGGAAGCATCTGACTCCCTTGCCTGGGGAGGCTGAAGGGCAGGAGCAGCTAAGGCCCTTCCCTCGCGTACCTTCTCCTCCTGCCTCTTGTCTAGATCCTCCTGTATCCGCCTCAGGAGCCGATCCTGCCCACATAGCTTGGTCAGCAGAGTCTGGGGAAGGTGAGAGGAAGCGTTTGCAGACCTCCCCTGGCTTCTCCCCTCCCAGCTCCATCTAGAGCAGTGGTTCTCGACTGTCCTAACGCTGTGACCCTCGTGTCATGGTGACCACAACCATAACGTATTTTCCTGCTACTTCATAACTGTAATTTGTTACTGCTATAAATTGTAACGTAAATATCCAATATACAAACAACCCCAAGGGGGATCGCGACCCACAGGTTGAGAACCTCCGGTCCAGAACCTTTTCCAGTCTGAGAATTTGACAGGGATTGGATCCCAGAGAACTTACATCTGTCTCCAAGCCCTGGTGCAAAGTTGAGTCTGTCGGGGGACCTGGCTGAGGAGGAGAGAATTCCAGCGTCAAAGGGATTTGATGTCCATTTCTATAAACCCTTCCTTTATAGTTGGCACAGGATACTGTTTGTCTCTAAGGCTGTTGTCCTTTCTGCTAGCAGTAGTAATAAATTCATTAAATCCACATTTGAATTGAGTCTTTGGTCTTCCCCAGGGGTTTTGAATGCTACACCAAGAACAATGTGGAAACAATTCCAAGTGATGCTTGCTAGGTCTCAAAGAAACGGTGACAAAGGGCTAGGGTGTCTACTTAACACATCTACGAGGGCACAGGCCTCCAGTCCCATCGCGACCCCGCCCCCGCCCCCTCCCCTCAACCTCTCTACCCAGGAGCTTCAATTCCCCTCCCTCCCCTCAGCTCCTCTGACTCCTAAACAACCCCAGCCATCGTGGTCCTCGGGTCTTCTCCTCATGCCCTCTCTCCTCAGTTCCTGTCTCCCCAACCCCTTCTTCTCTTCCCACAGCCCTGTTCAGTCTGCACTCTTCAGAAGTCTCTGGCTGTTCTCTCCCGCATAGCTACAGCAAACCGCCTCAACCCACGCCCAGGAGCCGTCATGACGTCATTTTTCTCATTCGGTGCCTGGTTTCATCAGCCATGGGAAAATAAGAAGAGAACCTACCGGGGATCCTGCTCCTTGCCGAGGAGACAACCATCCTGGGGAGTGAGGAGGTCAAGCCAGGGTCAACCAAAGAGGGACTGCAGTGGATTCTGGGTACTGCAGGAAACCTACCAGCAAAATCATGGAGGCCCGGGTCCCGGGGGGTCTTGGGGGCAGCTGGAGATAGGTGGGAGAACCAGAGGAGGCCTGGGTAGACTGAAATAAAAATGCTCAGAAACGGCTTGTTAGACCTAGTGGTGCAGGCCGTCACCTACTACTCTGGAGGCCTAGGTAACAGAATGAGTTCAAGGCCAGCCTGGGCAATTTAGAGACCCTGTCTCAAAATAAGAAGTAAAAAGGACTGGGCCGGGCAGTGGTGGCGCAGGCCTTTAATCCCAGCACTCGGGAGGCAGAGGCAGACGGATCTCTGTGAGTTTGAGACCAGCCTGGCCTGGGGAGTAAGTCAGCGGTAGAGCCCTTGCCTGGAATGCCCAGGCTCTGGTTCAGAGCACATACACACATCCTCAACTATACACTGGATATTAACAAACGGACGAGCCTGGCAAACGGACGAGACTGTAGGAGGTTAGCTACAGATATTCTAAGCTATAAATCCGTGACTCTTAGAAAAATTATCAAGAGGCTGGCTATTTTGACACAAAAACGGGAAACCAAACTCAGGTTGGTGTAGGCTATTGTGGACTACAATACCCACAATGCACAGGAGCAATAGAACTAAAAAAAAAAATCCTGAGGCCTGATGGGATGTGAAACCCAGTAGACTTTGATGGGAAGTGGGGGTGGGGGAACAGTTACATTGTGAACTATGATCCCCATAATGCCCGTGATACTCGGTCACTGGCCCGGGAAGAGAGCTCTGAAGCCTCATGGGAAATGTAGTCCGTCCGCTCTCTCGGCGCACCTGTGTTCTAGGCTCTTGTCTCCAGGGCTGGGGACTCCTGGGTGGCCGTCCTCCACCAACTTCGGAGGAGGGTCCTCGGTGTGGAGTGGGAGGTCGGGAGAGGGTCTGTCTTTGGGGTCCCCAATCCAGAGGAGGTCGGACATCAATGCGACTCAGGGGAGTGTGAGGTCGGGCAGGAAATGGTATGTCTCCAGCTGAGAGAGGGGGTCGCCGTGCTGGGGCAGAACGAGGACGGGGAAGGCTCAGAGGGGAAGGCGGGCGAGAGAGGGATGAGAACAGTCTATGGGGAGGAGAGAATCAGGGACCTGAGTTAGTGTGAGCCTCTGCTCCCAGTCCGCCTCACTACCCTCAAGGAACCCTGATTGCATTGTCCTTCTCTGCTGGGCAAATTGTGGGTGAGTTCCCTTTGGGGACATCTGCATCCACTTTCCAAAGGACCAAGCCACCAGCAAGGTCTCATCCTCCCCTTAAGTCATGTCTGCAGCGGGCTGGCCCTTTCCTTAGACCACCAACCCGCCCCTAATTGGTCCAACTACTCCCTTAACTCCTCCTTCCCTTATGCCACACCCTCAACCTGTGATAATGACAGGGCTCCACCCTAAGCCCCAAAGGGTCCCTACTTACTCTGGGCTCCTGGTCCTCCTACTCCATGTGTCAGACTGCAGATCAACTGTAGGGCTGGATGTGTAATTCCCATGTCTGCCACGACCTCTGGAGAGCCGAGCTACCTCTGGTGATTCTGAGATGCGCCCTTCTTCCCTCCTACTCACCTCCGGCGGCCCCCCGGGGCCTCCGGGGCCTTTCCCAGGCTGGGGAAGTGCAGGTGACCTAGATAGTCCACTAGCAAATGGGCACAAGGAGTGGCATCACTCTTGCTGCTAAAAGGTCACTGGGTCTACTGGCACAGGACCTAGTGTCCTGAGGTCTAGGCATTAGGATACTCTGGAAAGTGCCTGAAATAGTCTGACATTTGAGGGAAAAAAAGGGGTGGGGGTGAGGTAATGCTGTCTTTTTGAAGTGGCATCGTTATAGTCCAGCTGGCCTGAATTCTTTGTGATTATCCAGCTTTAGTCTCCAAGAACTGCTGGGAACACATTTCTCAAAAGTTTGCCCACGATAGGGAAGGGCGTAAACTCAAGGCCACTCTGGTTGAGTAAAAATGGAACCTTTAGGGGTTGTTGGGGGTTGGGGGGACTATCAGTCAGGGTTAGGAGGTGGCACACATGTTAAATCTCAGCCCTGGGGAAGCAGAGGCAGGTGAATTATAGTGAGACCCTGTCTCAAAAGCCAAAACTTAAACAAACAGTGAGGCATGACTCTGCTTGTCAGTACCCAAGAAAACTGGGACGCTGGGACCGTTAGGCCTGGGAGTATATGGGCCAGCCAGTTTAACCAATAAGGCAAGCTTCCAGCTCAGTGAAACCCTGCTTCAAAGCAGTAAGATAGACAGCAATAGAAAAACACACCTGCTGTCCTGCTCTGGCCTCCATGTGTACTGACACAAGCCTGTACACTTACACACTGGCATGCATGCAACACACACACACACACACACACACACACACACTGAGGAGGTAACTCAGTACTAGACAGCTTGCTTCAAGTACGAAACCCTGGCTTCCATCCCCAGTACATAAGCAGGAACGAGAGGTTGCCCAGCGGTTAGTCGAGTGCTTGCTGCTCTTTCAGGGGACTTAACTAACTTCAGCTCCTAGCACCTACGTTGGGTAGCTCACAATCGATCCAGAGGGAGCCAACATCTCTGGCCTCCAGCAGCGCCCAAACTCATGAGTGCAGACATACCTACACATCCATACAACCAGCCAGCCGAGCAAAAGCTCACGCAGGGCTGGAGATGTGGCTTGGCTGGTAGAGTGCCTGAGGACAAGTGTCCCCAGCACTGGGTGTGGTGGCCCCATCTGTAATTCTAGCTCTTGCAAAGTGGACCCACCTGGTGTGACCAGAGTGCAGGTGATCAGCTACACAGGCATTTCTAGCCTGGTCTGGACTATTAGATACCTTGTTCAAAAAACAAACCGTGTGGTTGCAACATGCTCGCCTTTAATCCAGGGACAGAGGCAGGTAGATCTCTGTGAGCTCAAGGCTAACCTGGTCTACACAGAGCTCTAGAACATAGCTACATAGATCTTTTATCAAAAAAAAAAGTAAAATCAAGTGAATTTTGCAAACATTTTTAAATGTGGCCTGGCCTTGTAGCTGGAGAAGAGATGGTTCAGGTTAAGGGCACGTCCTGCTCTTCCAGAAGACCTGGCTTCGACTCCCGCAGCCTCCAGGCAGCTCACAACTGTACTTCTAATTCCAGGGAACCTGACACCCTCTTCTGGCTTCTGAGGGGACCATGCACATGTATGGTTCATGCTAGTAAACACTCTTATACATGAAATAAAAAGAAACAAGTCCTTTTAAAAATGTGGCATGGCCTCAAAGCTGACCTTATTTAGAGAGCACCAGCCAGGACTTCACATTCTGAGAGTGGAGAGTGTTCCTAATTCTTTGGGTGGAGTTACGAATGTCTACTGAACATGTTGACTGAAGGGTCAGTTGTGAGTCAGGCTGGACAAGAAGGTAGGCAGATCTGTAGCTTTGAAGCCTATCCTGGCACTCTGCAGACCAGGCTGTCCTGGAACTCAACAGAGATCCACCAGTCTCTGCCTCCTGAGTGCTGGGATTAAAGGTGTGCGCCTCCACAGCCCCATCAAAGCCATCAGGCGGGCAGATCTTAAAATGGAAAACCTTTTGGCTATTGAAGGGGTCTTTGATGACAGGGTCTACTTAGGAGATAGTTAGTATTGCATATTTAAATGGCTGCCCTACAGAAGGAGGGGCCTGATGGGGAGCATGCCTGGCTCTCACTCACCAGTCTTCCCCCTCTGCTCGAGAAGCCCTTCCCAGAGCCCGCAGCCAACCTCTTAGGTCTTCTAGTGTATCAGCTGCAAGCACATAGGTCCTCATGCCTGGGTGCTCCGCCTGCAAGGGACAGAGACTTGGGACTGCAACTCAGAGGAAGTATGGTAAGACCTCGAATGTGGAAGCCCCACGACATCACCACCTCAGATCCCCACTACCCACCTAACACGAAGCCGTACTCACGGTGAAGGTGAATCGACGGCCACGCGGGGCTCCTGGCCCATCCGGCCTGACACTGTAGCTGGGCAACAGCACACTGCCCAGGACGCTCTCCTCTCTGCTGTCTGCAGAGAGGGTTTGGGGCCAGAGGTCAGGAAAGTGCCAAGCAACTAGAAGCCCAAGAGAGTGGGTGGGGAGGGCTAGCAGGGACACTGACCCTTGTAGTAGAAGAGGCAATGGCCCGAGAGGACGAACCAACGGCGTTTCCACAGCCGCAGGCCTGAGCTGTCCTAGGGAGAAAGAGGTGAGCAGAGAGCACAGAAGCAACTAGATGGAGAGAGTGACCCGGGGGGACAGAGGGACATAGAGGGAAAGGCAGAGACAGAGGGACAAAGGCCAGAGAGACCTGGGGAAAGAGATGGATGGCAGAGACCCAGAGAGAGGCACAGAGAGAGGCAGGCACAGAGAGAGAGAGGCAGGCACAGAGAGAGAGAGGCAGGCACAGAGAGAGGCAGGCCCAGAGAGAGAAAGGGGGAGGGGAGGGAGGAGGGAGGGGGAGGGAGGAGGGAGGAGGGAGGGAGGGGGAGGGAGGAGGGAGGGAGGAGGGAGAGGAGGAGGGACGGAGGGATGGAGGAGGGAAGGAGGAGGGAGGAGGGAGAGGAGGAGGGAGGGAGGAGGGATGGAGAGATGGAGGAGGGAAGGAGGGAGGGAGGAGGGAGAGGAGGAAGGAGGGAAGGAGGCAGGGATGGAGGAGGGAGGGAGGAGAGAGAGGAGGAGGGACGGAGGGATGGAGGAGGGAAGGAGGGATGGAGGAGGGAAGGAGGGAGGGAGGAGGGAAGGAGGAGGGAGGGGGAGGGCGGCCAATAGGTGCCTGTTGGTTTTAGTGGTAGCACATCCTTTAAACTATACCTTAGAAAAGTCACCTCCACTATGGCCTGACTTCCCGTCTATCCATTGAGGTTGGAGAAATTTCTGGAAGGTTTGGTTGAGGTATGCACCACAGAGGTTTCATATACAGGAGATGTAGAAGGTTCCCTATCATATGCTGTTCCTTCTCCACAAACTCCCAACAGCTACTCAAAGCTGTGTGGATTCCCTTTGTCTCAAGTAACCCAGGCTGGCTTCGAATGTGCTCTGCAACTGAGTTCCCACCTTTGCCTCCTTAGCACTGAGGTTATATGCCTGTCCATTTGTTTATTCCCTAATCCACTACACAATTTCTGCTCCACCCCGATCGTCTTCTTGTTATCTTTTGATTTGGTTTAGTTTTTGAGGCAGGGTCTATGCTGTCCTGGCTGCCTCTGCCTCGGGAGTTCTGGGATTAAAGGCATGTGCCACCAGGCTCTGCATTCCACCTTGATGACCTTAAATGCAGTCTAGATACTTGTTCATCTTAGAACCTGTGTCCTGGGGCCAGGAACATGAAATATTCAAAGACACATAGGAAATGGATGCTTCTTTTTTTTTTTTCTTTTCTTTTCTTTTTTTTTTTTTTTTTGGTTTTTTTGGTTTTTCCAGACAGGGTTTCTCTGTGGCTTTGGAGGCTGTCCTGGAACTAGCTCTTGTAGACCAGGCTGGCCTCGAACTCACAGAGATCTGCCTGCCTCTGCCTCCCGAGTGCTGGGATTAAAGGCGTGCGCCACCACCGCCCAGCAGGAAATGGATGCTTAAGGCATGAAGGAAACAGTAACAGGTTGCAGATCAGCCAGCAGCAGCCCATCGTGTCGGGAATGTGGAAGGGAACGCAGGTGGATCCAGGCAGCACAGCTGGCCTCCAACCTTACCTGCTTATGCAGCCAGCCACGGATGTGCACGGGCAGGTTGGGGTCTCGCCGAAGTGCATTGCTCCTTTTCCCAAAGGCATGGACCTTGTGAACTGCACGGGTAGGCTTCTGGGGTGCGATGGGAACAGAAGTGAATGAGGGATTCTCCTGGGACTGGCTCCCAAGTGGCCTTTTCTTAGAAACCAGGCTAGGATGCTGAGCGTGGTGACACATGCCTGCAAAGCCAGTGCTTGGAATGCAGATGCAGGAGGATCAGGATTTAACATAGTGAGTACAGACAGTCTGTGCTGTTTGAGACCAAGTCTCAGAGCAAACAAACAAACAAAAAAGTGACAAGGCATTTAGTTATCTCTGTTCACACAATGCTTCCCCGTCATACATGAAGCATGAATTCAAGTCCAGCATGGCATAAACCAAGGGTGGTTGCTCACACCGGTAATCCCATCATTCTAGAGGTCGAGGCAGAGTTAGAAATTCAAGGCTGTTGGGTGGTGGCACACATCTTTAAACTCAGCACTTGGGAGGCGGGGGCAGGCAGATTTCTAAGTTTAAGGCCAGCTAGGTCTACAGAGCAAGCTCCAGGACAGCTAGGGTTAGACAGTGAGATCCTGTCTTTTTTTTTTTTTTTTTTTTTTTTTTTTTTTGGTTTTTCGAGACAGGGTTTCTCTGTGGCTTTGGAGGAGATCCTGTCTTGATGGCAACAAGTTTTAGGTCATTTTTCGGCTACATAGGGAGGTCAAGTTCAGCCTGGTCTTATGGAGCCCTAGCTGTCCTGGAAGAACGCACTCTTGGCTGCCACAGCCAGGGACGCCAAAGAACCTCTGCAATCCACACTGGGAGTGTGTCTGGGCGTCCCCCGGAAAAGCAGCTTCCAAACAGAAGCCCTGGGAAATGAGAGGACAGAGGGTATCTCTGATGCTCAGCAATGAGGTTCAAGGTGGAGATGTGGCTTTTGTCCTTCACTTCCTCAGAGGGGGACCTGCCGACACAGACTGCACAGGCCCCCAAGCCCAGGCCGCCTTGGACTGAACTCCCAAAAAGGAGTGCAATCCAGGCTGACCAAGGCTGGAACCAAATCTCTGAGCTCTGAATTTAAGGGAGTAAGGTGAATTTTGTCCTGGTCATATTTATGCAGCCCAGGCTATGCTCAAATCACGGTGTAACCAAGGTTGACCTTGAATTTCTGATCCTCCTGCCTCTACTTCTCGAACGTTGGGATTTGAAGTATGTACCACCACACCTGGCTCCGGTTTGGGGTTTGAAGTATGTACCGCCACACCTGGCTCCGGTTTGGGGTTTGAAGTACGTACCACCACACCTGGCTCCGGTTTGGGATTTGTTTTCTTGCCTGTTGTTTTACCTGATCTATGTCCCTGCCTCCGCCTCCCCAACAGCAGGTTGCAGCTGTGAGCCACCACACCTGGTTGATAACTAGCCGGTGGGTCGAGGGTGGTAGACTGGAGAGGGAGCCCCTAGTCCAGTCAAGGGTAGACACCTCCTTTCAGTCTAGGTTTGTTTGTTCTTCAGTTAGGAAGACTGAGAGGGTGGGGACAGGAATGTCTCTGAAGTCCCAGCTGTAGCCAGGACCAGTCTGGCAGACTGAGGTTCCTGTGATCTACAGCTTGGAAGTGGGACAGGCCCGCCCTTTGCCCCTTCCTCCCCATCCCTGCGGAAGGACCTTGGTGCCTGGGCTGCTCACAGACGATGTGGTGGAAGCGCTGCTGGCCAGGCTCAGGCTGCTCCGGGGGCGGCCCTGCTCCATCGAGAACTTTGGGAGAAAGAGAAAAGGGCTGTGTCTCTCCACTGATGGGGGCTGAGGACAGAGTTGGGGGTCAGGGCTGAGAGGTCAGGGAATGCTGAGGAGAAAGGAACTGTTGTTTGGGGACTGAGGGGCTGGGGGAGGCCATGGTCAGGGATCACATACCAAGAGCAGTGCCAAGAGAGGTGGGTGGCTCTGGCAGCTGTGGGGAGGGGGCAGCTGTCTGCAGCCAGGCCAGAAGAAGAGGGGCTCCTTTATTACTGCTCACTGAACTCTGGCTAGGAATGTGACCCCTGATTGCACAGGGGTTCTACTCCTTGCCTCCTTCAGGGAGCCCTGGGCTACCTGCTGCTGTCTTCTCTCATTCACCCCCAAACCGTATTTGTCAGCTTCCCAAGACAATTCCTAAGACAGCAGGAACGAGCGTCCAGGCAAGTCCCTCCCAGCCCAGCCAGGGACTTACCCCGCGCTGTGTCCCAGTGACAGGACTGTCAGTCTCAGACACTGCCTCTTCTCACCTGATGTCTGCTTCGACGCTGTCTTGTTTATGAGTTCTCTCTCTCTCTCTCTCTCTCTCTCTCTCTCTCTCTCTCTCTCTCTCTCTCTCTCTCTCTCTCTCTGCCTATGCCACCCCTCTCCAGTCCCTCTCCTTACCTTACTGCTCCTGTCTAGCCCCCCCTGGTCTCTACCACTCCCCTAGTCCCTCCCCCCACACTCAGTCTCTCTCCCCGACCAGACACTTCTGTTTCCTTTCTTCTCTTTCAACTTCTCTTACTCACTTTCTCTCTTCCTCCCTCTCCTGCTTTCTCTTTCCTCTCTGCTGGGCTTTCCCTCTCTCTGGCAGCCGCCCACGCTGCTGCCTCCCCTCCCAATCATGGCTGTCCCCGCCTCTTCTGGCCTCCCTACTATTCAGCCTGACCCCTGGCTCAGCTGCCCCCACAGCTAAGCAGAGGAATTAGGATTCTCCAACTCTTGGCTACCCTAAGATGTGGCTGGGACTCCTCAACGTTTGGGGCAGAGACTCGAACCCCAGGACACCATGGGTTTGTTGTTACTTGAGGTTCTGAGTGCCAGCTCCTTCAAGAGAGGTGTCCTGGGTCCTTTGAAGAATGGGGCCTCCAACTCCTGAAACCTTGGGAAATTGGGATACAGCCTGGCTGGTGGGTGCCTGTGAAGGTATGAGCTAGAAGTCCGAACTCATGGACTATCCACCCATGTCCATAAGTGGGGCCTTGACCAAATGAGACAGTGATAGTTAGTTAGCCCTGGTCCTAGAAGGAGGGGACCATAGTCCCAGAGTACTGGGCTCTGGCAAGGGCAGGGTTAACTGGCCAGTTTGAAATTTATCCCTCAGATCAGACTGATAACCCATAAGAAGGGAGGTATGGTGACTTGATACATTCTGAGGAATATGGCTATAGACCAGAGCTCAGGGTAGCTCCAAGAGAGTACTGTCCAATATGTGGGACACCCTGGGAACCCCACCCAGAAACAGCACACACCACACACACACACACACACACACACACACACACACATACACACACACACACACACACACACACACCACCAGATAGGGAGAGGAGGGGAGGTTGGAACTGGGTCTCTGGATTTACATCTGCATCTGGGATTTAAACAGAGCCCCATCCTTACCAGAGTGTAGGTCAATCAGAATTTCAAATTGCACAAACAACTTTTTTTTTTTTTTGGTTTTTCGAGACAGGGTTTCTCTGTATTGTTTTGGAGGCTATCGGTCCAGCCCAGCCTTGAACTCACAGAGATCCGCCTGCCTCTGCCTCCCAAGTGCTGGGATTAAAGGCGTGCGCCACCACCGCCCGGCTCGCACAAACAACTTTTATATAATTTTGAAGCAGTGAGGAATGCAGATGTCTGCCTATGAAAGCAAAGAAGTCTGTTTAGCAGTGTTCTCCATACAGTATTTATTGAGGTCACACTTGCAACCTCTATACCGGGAAAGGTAAGGTAGGACTTTGAGAGTTCCAGGACAGCCTGGGCTATAAAGGTGGAGTTCAGCCTGAGTTACATAGTAAGTTCTAGGCAATCCTGGAATACAAAATGGTTCCCTGTCAAAAGACAAAAACAAAATGGAAATTAATATTTTTAAGAAGAAGGCTCCATGAAGACAGGTATTGGGCTGGGGTCACTGCTTCTCTGTACACAGTAGGAGGATTGCCCGAAAATGAAGGTTGGCCTGAGCTTACCCAGTGAGTTCCAGCACATTGTGGACTACACTGTGAAACCCTGTCTCAAAATAGACAGACAGACCCACATACCAAAAACAACCAAGGGACTAGAGAGAAGGCTCAGGCCTTGAGAGCAATTGCTGCTCTTGCAGAGGATCCAAATTCATTCCCAGAACCCGTTTGGAGGTTCACACCATCTCTAACCCAGCTCTACTAGATCAGGGGCCATCTTCTGAGGCCTCCACTAGCACCACATACAGAGGTGGTGTGTGTGTGTGTGTGTGTGTGTGTGTGTAGGGAAAACACTCATATACATAAAATAAGGGGAAAAATTTTTTTGAGCCTGGGTCTCACTATGTAGCTCTGGTTGTCCCAGAACTCACTATGTAGACCAGGCTAGGCTCCAGCTCAGATTTGCCTGCTTCTCCCTCCGAGTGCAGAGATTAAAGGCATATGACATCATGGCTCACAAGAATTTTTTTCCCAGGTAGACTTGGACAGTCTGGAACTAGCTATGTAGTCCAGGCTGGCCTCAAACTCACAGTAGCCCTCCTTTCTCTGCCTCTTTAGTTCTAGGATTAAAGTCATGTACTTCTACTGGACAGTGTTTCTCTGTGGCCACTGGTTGTTGGGGGGAAGTCCTGTGCATTTGTCAATAAAGCACTGCTGGCCAATAGGGAATCAAGATAGGTGGGACTAGGAGTCCAGAAGGACTCTGGGAAGGAGAAACACAGAGAGTCAAGATGTAACGGCATGGAGTAGGAAGCCCCGAAACCTCTCCGGTAAGAGAAATACATAGATTAACAATTATGGGATAAATACTTAAGTCAGAGCTAGCCAGTAAGAATCAAGCAAGGCCAACAGCTTCATAATTAAAACAGCGTCTTGTATTATGTGGCAGAGCCCAAGCGGCTGGCAGGGTAAAACCAAAGCGGCTGGCAGAGGAAAAGCCTCCCTTTACAACTGCTAGCATTTTTATTTATTTATTCATTTTTATAATTAATCAATTAATTTGTTAATTATTTATTGGTTTTTTTGAGACAGGGTTTCTCTGTATTGTTTTGGAGGCTGTCCTCGAACTCATTCTGTAGACCAGGCTGGATTCGATTTCACAGAGATCCGCCTGCCTCTGCCTCCCGAGTGATGGAGTTAAAGGCGTGCGCCACCAACGCTGGGCTGTATTGATTATTAAAAAAACTTTTTAAAATGCTAGCATGGCCGGGCATTGGCGGCGCACGGCTTTAATCCCAGCACTCAAGAGGCAGAGGCAGGTGGATCTTTGTATGTTCGAGGTCAATCTCGTCTACAGAGCGAGTTCTAGGACAGTCAGGAATACACAGAAACCCTGTCTCAAAACACCAGAAACAAAACAACAACAACAAAAACAACACTGAGTGTTTTGCCTTGAAAAACAAATGGCAGACGTGGTGGTACAAGCCCTTAATCCCAAGACTCTGTGGACAGCAACAGGAGGATCACTGATTTCGAGGCCAGTCCTTGGCTTTCAAAAATAATAAACAAAAGAAATAGAAAAAGAAATTAATTGGGTTGGTAAGATGTGTGCCTGGCTGAGGAACTGCACTCGCTTGCTTGCTCAGAAATTGCTCGTGATTGACAGCTCGCAAGGTTTGAGCCCAGGACACGCCTGGAAAAAAAAAGTCGCAGTGACGTCACAAAGCCCGGAATGTCCGCGAGAAGTTGGGTGTTGTTTTCCTCTTCCCACCTCTCCCGGGAACTTCCGAAGCCCCGCCTCCCGGTGACGTCAGCGCGGCCGCGGCAGGCTATAAAAGCAGCGTCGCGGGCTCCCACGCAGATCGAGTCGCCTCTCGCCCTGTGGAAGTTTGCATGCGTGGCCCCGCGCGACGCCGCACCCCTTCGTCGGGACTCTCCTCGCCGCAGTCTGTGAGACCTCGCGTCCCCGAGCCCCACGCCTGAGGGCGCCATGAGCGCGCTGGCCTTGCGAGACCTCCGCACCCGCGACCGCTTCTGGAAACCCGAACCGGCGCTCCTGCCCCCGGGGTGACGCGGGTGCGTGGGGGCTGGGGCGGTCTTGGAGGGAGGACTCCGCGGGCTGGGGAGGAAGCGGGGGAAAATCCCTGGACCTGGGGGTAGACCCCGCAGGCCTCCATAGGTCTAAGGAAGGCAGAAGCTCAGACTGCGAGTAAAGGGAACGGGGCCTGCTTGCTAGACCCGCAGGGCCTGCAGCGAGCCGGGGGAAGGGAAGGACTCCAGGAGGAGCGGCCTGTGGCCAAGAGGAGGGCGGGAGGAGGTTGTTTTAGGGGCGTGATCACATGCCTGAGGGGTAGAACGCGCCTTAGAGGCCAGGTCACAGGTCTGATGAGGGCTAGGCAGGAGTCTTGACAGGGCTGAAGGAAGGGGCTTGTAGAACCGGGAGCCCCGACTGTTGGGTGTTGAGAGGGCCAGAGCAGGTGATGGAGGCGGGTGTGAGCAGGGCTGTTAGGAATTTGAGGCACGGACGCTTGTGTTGGTACTGTGACTATTTGTATTACCGTGACTCAGGGCTGTGGCATGATATTATTTCCAGAATGGCTTCTAAACAGTTTCCCCTTTTATAGCCCAGACACATGGCCCCAAGTCCAAGACCCCAGCATGCCCTGCTCTGGAGGGATGCGCACTCCTTCTACCTCCTGTCTCCACTGATGGGCTTCCTCAGCCGGGCTTGGAGCCGCCTGAGGGGCCCGGAAGCGCCAGAGCCCTGGCTGGCGGAAACAGCAACGGGAGCAGATCAGATAGAAGCTAAGGCTCTGCTGTCGCCTCCCCTTGTTCCTGAGAGCCACCTCCCTCAGGGGGAGGCTGAAGAAAGCGGGGCTCCTGAAGAGGGGGAAGCAGCCCAGGGGCCCTGCCTGGATGTGCAAGCCAACAGCTTCCCTCCCGAAACTTGGGGACTTTCGAATGATGAGTACCGAGAGAAGCCAGGACGGGGTGGCCCTACAGAGCAGGGCAGCGCACACACGGCTGGCCTGCCCGTACCGCTGTCCCCGCGTCTGCAGAGAGCTGATAAGAGCCTTGGAGAGGTGGTGGCTGGAGAGCAGGGAGTGACTCAGCTGGCTTATCCCAAGCCACACTGGGAGGGTTGTTGTCCATCGCGGGAGGAAGAGCGTGGGGAGACTGTGAAGAAGGCTTCCCGAGCCTCTGCAGGACACAAGTCCGTCACGTACCGAGCCACGGACGAAGAAGGAATAGAAAATAAAGCTGACCCCCCCAGCTCTCCTCCAGGCTCCCGCTCCACAGCTGGTGAGCACTGCTCTAAGCAGGAGGGAGAAGCTGACCCAGAGCCACACAGGGCGGGGCGGGGTCAACCCTGTCAGAGGGCAGAAGCTGGGGAAGAGGGTAAGGCCCTGTCTCCCCCTACCTCTCCTGAAAATGCCTTCCTGAAGGCCTGGGTGTGTCGACCTGGAGAGGACGCCGAGGATGACAATGGTGATGATGACAGTGACTGGGGATCAGCTGGGGAAGAGGGTAAGGCCTTGTCTCCCCCTACCTCTCCTGAAAATGCCTTCCTGAAGGCCTGGGTGTGTCGACCTGGAGAGGACGCCGAGGATGACAATGGTGATGATGACAGTGACTGGGGATCAGCTGGGGAAGAGGGTAAGGCCTTGTCTCCCCCTACCTCTCCTGAAAATGCCTTCCTGAAGGCCTGGGTGTGTCGACCTGGAGAGGACGCCGAGGATGACAATGGTGATGATGACAGTGACTGGGGATCAGCTGGGGAAGAGGGTAAGGCCTTGTCTCCCCCTACCTCTCCTGAAAATGCCTTCCTGAAGGCCTGGGTGTGTCGACCTGGAGAGGACGCCGAGGATGACAATGGTGATGATGACAGTGACTGGGGATCAGCTGGGGAAGAGGGTAAGGCCTTGTCTCCCCCTACCTCTCCTGAAAATGCCTTCCTGAAGGCCTGGGTGTGTCGACCTGGAGAGGACGCCGAGGATGATGACGATGATGACAGTGACTGGGGATCAGCTGGGGAAGGCAGTCTAGCTCAGACCTGTGCCACCCCCCATACAAGTGCGTTTCTCAAGGCCTGGGTCTATTGCCCCGGAGAGGACTCAGAAGACACCGACTGGGAGGATGAGGCCCCAGAAGATTCAGAAGCAGCTGACCGAGGCAAGAGTCAGGCCCAGGGCTGTCTGCCTGGAGAGCAGACAGAGGCACTTGTGGAAGCAGAGCCCTCTCTCTTCCAAGTGGCCTTCTATTTACCTGGAGAGAAGCCAGCGTCACCTTGGACCGCCCCTAAGCTGCCCCTTCGGCTGCAAAGGCGGCTTGAATTGTTGAGAGCTCCCACCCAGGATCAGGACCCTGACACTCCTCCACGGGCCAGAAAGGTAAGTGGGTGATGGGGTCTCCCTAAGACCATTTACTCTGTAGTAGCTCAGGCGTGTACAGTCCTAGTACTGGATTTGCAGTAGGATTTCACACTGCTTTTTTTTTTTTAATATGTAATTTGTACAAAGGGCCTAGATTCTGAGTCAGGAGGAGGAGGGGCCTGGAACCTGAAAATCCCTGAAGGTGGGGACTCCAGAGACCCATGTGTTGCAACTTCTTACATGGGAAGGCTGTGTTCACCCTGCTGCAATCGACTGTAAGAGGCAGGAAGAGTGATAATTGGCTCGTGGTGGCCCAGACGTGTGCCCCGTGAGTCAGAGGGACAGTCAGGATGTCAGGCAGGTGACTATTCAAATAACAAGCGTTGTCTTGTGACTAATCTTTCCTTCTTGCCTCTGCCGTCTGTCCAGGTGCGCTTCTCCGAGAAAGTCGCAGTCCATTTCCTTGCTGTCTGGGCAGGACCAGCCCAGGCTGCCCGACGTGGTCCCTGGGAGCAGCTGGCACGAGATAGGAGCCGCTTTGCCCGCCGAATTGCCCAGGCAGAGGAGAAACTGGGTCCCTGCCTCACCCCTGCCTTCAGAGCCAGGGCGTGGGCGCGCCGTGGAAACCCACCCCTTCCTCAAGCCTTCCCAGCTGCCCTTCCACAGCATGGGCCTTCTTCCTCCTCTGAGGCCACGCCCTCGAGCCCATCTGTGACCAGTGAAGCCCCTCCTTCCAGCCTGGACATCGGTGGGAGGCGTGGCTAAGCCCAAGTAGTTTCCTGTTATTTATTTTTAATAAGAAATAAAGCCTTTTGATTTATAGTGATCCAGTCTTAGGTGTGCGTTCCTGCTGGTGTATCTTCAAGGGAGGCTAGAAATGAGTTCTAAGACCAGTCTCATCTACGGAGTACTGCGACACGACCAATCCCAAGCACTTCCAAGCTGAGGCAGGAGGGCTGGCTTGAGGGTGGGGACACAAGGCGTGACAACGTGTATGAAAATGAAGCCTATTATTGTGTACGCCGAAAAAGTTAAACTTAGCAGGTGCAGGCTTGTCATCCCAGTACTCCAGAGGCGGAAGTAGGAGGGTGGGGTGTTCAAGGCCAGCCTCGGCTACCTTGTTGGAGACCAGACTGAGTATCGAAACAACGCGCAGGACAGAGCTGGTGAGGGATGGTATTTTATTCAGTTACTCACACGCCAGTTTCCCATCGAAACTGGATAAGCAGATGGCAAAGGCTTGGAGCGGGCAAAGAGGATATCGGAAATCCATAGTGAATATGTTTGGGGCCACGCGGCCGAACTGGAGCACCAGGTGGTCCGCTGGTGAGCAAAACGGGAGACAGGCTTTAGTTAAACTGGTGCCGCCGCGCCCGCACCCAGCGGGCAACTCTAGGAGCCCGAGAGACTACATCTCCCAACAGGCCTTGCGAGCGAGGCTCCCGCCCTGCCTAGGAAACCGCCCCGGGAGTACTCTTTGAGTGGCCGCTTTCTTCCCACAAGCCCAGGTCTCCGGGATGCTGGGAGCTCACGTTCTTCCGGGTGAACAATCTGGAAGTTCTTGACCGAAGCCCGAGTGACACGACCGTGAAAATTGAGCACATAGGCGCCACTCTCGTCGCTCCAAGATGGAGCCTTGTTCTGCAGTAAGAGCAGCCCGTTCCTAGCACCCTTTTGTAGGCGACTCAGTATCGAATCCTGATCCTTGAAGATACAATAGGGGCTTCGTCTGTTAACCTACCTGCAGCCTACCATATTCATTCATTCATTCATTCATGACAGTGTCTCTAGAGTCCCAGGTTTATCTTTGTGTGTGTGTGTGTGTTTTTAGAGAAAGGGTTTCTCTGTAACCCTGATTGTACTGTAACTAGCTTTATAGAGCAGGCTGGGAATGTAAATTTTTATTTTTACTTTATTTCTTTCTTTCTTTTTGTTGAGACAGGGTTTCTCTTTGTAACAGTTCTGGCTGTCATGGAGCTCACTTTTTTGACCAGTCTGGCCGCCAGCTGACTTGTAGTTGGTATTTTATATTTTCATGTTGTGGCTGATCCGTGATATCCACTATCTAACTTTTGCTTATGGTTATGAATGGAACCCTCAAAGCATTTTATTAGGGTTGTGGTGACTTCTCTGTGATAAAGTTCTGACTTAGACAAACACTGCCATTAATTACTTGATTCTCATTTGTGAAGTTTCAAGAATGCATGATAGTGCTGAACAGACAGAAGAAATCTTTCACCTCTGACCTTTGAGATTTCTTATCTCCCTTCCCTTGGTGACTCCCATATCCCCAGAGGCAAATGTTACATATACATTTATGCAAAAATTATTCACACTTATGAACATTTATAACCACACACAGATCATTATGTATAATCTATTGTGCATATATTGTTAGTCATAGCTTAAAAGTAGCCAAGCTTAAACTGGTTGGTGGTGGTGCACACTTTTAATCCCAGCACTTGGGAGGCAGGGGCAGGAGGATCTCTGAGTTCCAGGCCAATCTGGTCTACAGAGAAAGTTCCAGGACAGTCAGGAAAAAGTCTCAAAAAAAATTCTGTTTTAGTTGAATGTAATATATGTGTCTGCGCCGGGCGTTGGTGGCGCACGCCTTTAATCCCAGCACACGGGAGGCAGAGGCAGGCGGATCTCTGTGAGTTCGAGGCCAGGCTGGACCGACAGCCTCCAAAACAGAGAAACCCTGTCTCGTAAAACCAAAAAATATATATATATATGTGTGTGTGTGTGTGTGTGTGTGTGTGTGTGTCTGCACATGTGGATTGTACGCAGTTATCATCAAAGTCCAGAAGAGGACATCAGGTTCCCTGGAGCTGGAGTTATAGGCAATTGTGACCCACCTTACAAGGGTACTGGGAACCAACTCCAGAAATTGTTTTTCTTTTGAGACAGGGTTTCTCTGTGTAGATCCTGCTGTCTTGGAACTGGTTTTGTAGACCAGGTTGGCTTCAAACTTACAGAGATCCACCTGCCTCTGCCACCCAAGTGTTGGGATTTAAAAAAAAAAAACAACTTTTTAAATACCAGATCTGCCTGTGTAGAGCCCTGGCTGTCCTGGAACTTGATATTCAGATGAGTCTGGCCTCCAGCTCACAAGGTCTGCCTTTCCCGTCCCTCTAGGAGAGCAATGCATGATCTGTTAACCACTGAGCCATCTCTCCAGCCTTGGATCCAGAAGTTCTGAGTCTCTGGTTTTACTTCCTAAGACTCTAGCAAAGTTACTCAAGTTTCACAGGTGACCTGCGGACCATTGTCCACTGACATTCTCGGTGCTGATTCCCAGCCTTGAGACTCACGTTTTGTGGTTGCACTCTTATCCTCTGCTTCCCGCTGTCTATCCCTGGAAGGACCACAGTCATTTTCCGAGGCCCCCTGAATCCCAAGACGTTGGTTTCCTGGGAGGGTTAATTAGATTATATTCCAGCGTTCTTACCTATGGGCACCCCGTTCATCTCTGCCCCTGTCAGGATACTTACATAACATACAACTCCCAGCTCCTCTCTGATCCGGGCATTGTCTGGGATCCAGTAGTTCCGCTCCGGGTTCACCCCATTATCAAAGATGGTGAATTTTGTGCCCAAGATGTTGGATCTGCCCCCGAGGATAGAGAACAGAGTAAAATAACCGCAATGGCGATTTTTACTGTTAAGTGCTTTCTCAAACCCATCCTCTAAGGAAAAAAATGGCAGTCCCTGCCCTCTGTTTCTTTGGTGTCATTCTAGCTAGCATCGTACACTGACTCTTTGGGAACCCTCTTCCATCTAGCAGGTAGGAACTCACTCTAGACCTCTTTCCCCACAGGCACTGGGGGTCCCAGCCCTCTGCCTATCCAGAAGCTAAGCATCTTAAATGCCAGCCTGTATTCATGGCATCCAGAGCTTTTATGTTTTCTCTTTCCCAGTACAACCTGCAGAACTACAAAAACCATCAGGCTTCAGTGCACGTCTTGTGCTGTGCCCAGCAGCCTACTAGGAAATGTAGTTCATTTGCCGGTCTTTCTCTGGGCTTCCTAGGAGCACCACATAACAAGAAGGCTGCACCTACCTAACTTTGCCTACAAAGTTGTTCCCATTGCGAGACATGTCTTTGGGATCCAGGGAGATGAGATAATTTGAGGTTTTACTTCTTTTCCTTTTCCGCCCAGCCAGAAGGAAATGCTGCAAAGCAGAGAAGAGACGTCAGGATTGATTTCTGGCACTGTCTAGAGCCAGGGTCCTAACACAGCTCCGAATACGGGAAAGACGGCCACGCTGGGAGGAGACCGGCATATGGAGAGGAGTATGGCTTAGCTATAGAAACACCGAGGGCCTACCTAGTTTATACTAGGATTGGGTGGGGTTTGACCAACAAGACGACTCAGTTGGGAGGCCAAAGAAGGGACACGCTTTTCTCAAGACGGAGGGAGGTGTGGTAGGTATGGACTCATTCTGGGATGGATAAGGCTTGATTATAGGGTAGAGAGGATCTTATAAAAAGTTTGAAGTTCTGAGGTGGTTGGGGCTGAAAGCTGACAAGTCCTAATTATGAGACACAGACCTGAGTCCAGAAAAAAATAGTTTTTTGAGACAGGGTTTCTCTGTGTAGCCCCAGCTGTCCTGGAACTCACTCTGTAGACCAGGCTGGTCTCACAGAGATCTGCCTGCCTCTGCCTCCCAAGTGCTAGGATTAAAGGCTTGCACCACCACTGCCTGGCCAGAAAAAAAATGTTGGAAGGGTCCCACATTGTCTCCCTGGCTGTCCTGGAACTCATTATTGAGGAAAGGGCTGCCTTCCTCTGCTTACCAAGTGTGGGAGATAAAAGATATCCACCACCACCACCACCTGGCCTTGGACTCCTTTACATCTAAGGCTGACCTCACTGACTTTGCTCTCCTGATCCTGCCTGCCACCATCTCCCAAGTATTATTAGGATTATAGTTTTATGCTGCTACATCTGGCTCCAGAAATCTCTAACCATGTCCAAAAAGGGGAGAGACATGCTCCTCAAAGTTGGGGCTTGTTTCCCTTATCTACACCCCCCTCCAGTGTGAAGCCTCCCGACCACCAAGGGGCTAGAGCTTACAGCCACACTGTCCTCCGCCTCCAGGTAGAGGTAGTAGGTGGGGAACATGCCCTTGTCCATGCCACGCTTGTCTCGGATGATGCGGCACTGCACCATGTGGTCTCGGGGTGCAGGCAGCAGCACATAAGCTTCCATGTCCTCCCCGAGCCGAGGGCCTGGAGTGCGGGGCAGGGGACAGGTCATGTTCCAAGTATTGTAGTTGCTTGTGTCACCGTTGCCTTGCAAGGCCTCAGCCACCGCTGTAGACTCTGAGGCCTCTTTCTTCTCCAGGTCTTCATCCTAGCTCAAAAGTTGAGGGGCAGTCAGGTTCGACCGTGCAGGCTGATTGGCTATTCTAGCTAAGGAATGTCCCTCGAAGACCCATGATTTCTTGTTAGTCATGCATGTGAGCTAATCCACCCAACCAAGTTTACACATCTGTTGATTGGTCAAACTTGTAACCTTGTCAGCTCCACAAACGGTGTGAGATCCTTACTCCAGAACATATAAACCCAGAGACCTGCCGAAACATGCCAGTGAAGTTTGCTGGGGCATTACTGGGCAGTAGCACCCCGCCAAGGATCCTCCACTGTTAAGAGCACTCGCTTGCAAGCATGTCGTGATGTTGACTATAAAAAGACCCTCCCAGATCATGCTTTGTAGACTCTAAGTTGGCACCTGTCCATGGAATATTTTTTTAGGGGAGAGAGTCTCCTTATGTAGCCCAGGTTGGCCTTGAACTCTCAGTCCCTGTCAGCATCCTGACT